CCGGGCGACGGGATCACCGGCCAGGGGGGGGTTATGGTAGATGTAGTCGCTATAATCGATCCCAGCTGGCTGATTTCTTATTAAACACAATATCCCTGGTTCAGGCGGAGGTGGTAGTGGCAAGTGGCCTACCACGCGCATGTGGGCCGGGGGTCAAATCCCGGGTCGACTTCCACTGAAGCCAAGTCAGGCTTTCTACCTCCCCCGCAGCCCGGGGACGATTGATCGGCGGCGAGGCTTTATCCTTTATCCTTGGTTCCTGGCTACGTTTTTGGGCGTCTTCTACTTCTATTGTTGTGGCTGTTGAGAGCGGTGGGTGGGGCCAGTGAAAGGGGGTTGAGCCACTCAGAGGAATGATGGCATAGCTTACCCTCACCAGTAGCTTTGGATCAGCCGCGAAAATGGTGCAACAGCTACCTGGCGGACCAAGCTATTTGGATGCAACTAATCGTGCATGCCTTGAATGGTCTCTATTTCAGAAACACGCTATCTCCGATACATCTATACCGAGCAGTACTTCCTGAAATGAACAAAATCGAAGGTGTGTGTTTCCCTTGTCCCTGAGACGGAGTAGACGTGGCATCCAAACATGGCACACTGGGATATTTCGGTACCACATTAGCGTCAAAATGAAAATTTTTCTGCAAAAGCACAGCTACTGTCACGCAGCCACGCCTGCGAAATCTCCGGGATCTCAAGAGTAAACAACGCCCTGATATGAAATGCTGTGATTTTTGGAAAGTCTTCTATGCAGTGATATGATATCAAAGAGGAGATCATTGTTAAGAAAGAGCTCAGACGAATTGGAGTGTCAATGTTCAAGCGTGATAACAGCGGGGTGAACAGATAAGAGGACCCGTGACTTCTTATAAAGGGGCATTCCGCCTCAAACATTTTTTAAGCAATGTGCCGCAAACTGAAGGAACCACTTCAGTTGCTTCACTATTTTTATTATAATGACGATCTCATAGTATATTTTTGTGGAGAATTTGTGAAAGTTTCAATTTTCTTAGATTCCTGTGAGCCCTCTTCTCTTCACCGTCTCGCTCCCTTCCGAATAAAAAAAAACTCATATCGTACAACGTGTGCCTGTGATCCATTGCAGATCTCATGTCGTTGAACCTGTACACGCCTGCAAACGGTCTCCATCGTACTCATGTCACTTGGGACGACATTGAGGAGGACATGCAACGAGAATTTGACACAGTCGCCTCTTTCGGTCCCAACAAGACTGCTAAGGACATCGGAGACGGAAATGTGAGTAGCAATGAGCGCATGCCTATGAGGTGCAAGAGCCTGCATTATGGCCAATCGTTCCGGAATGGCCAACTTTGGGCGCAGAGCCTTTCATTTCATGAACTTCTCGTGCGCCGCAAAAGAGTAGGCCAACCACCCACTACAGGGATACCAAAAAAAGTTCACTTTCCTTCCTCGACTTTCGACGGCCGCTATTAAGTACACTCTATTGATTCCTGACCGAACATTTCCTCGACATATCAACAACATATGAAATACTAACTATGATTTAACTCCGCCAACAGGCCTTCTGCAGAAGGCGCTCATCCAGAGAATTCTCCGGCGCGACCGTTGACTTCCTGTGCCTTGACTTCAGATAGTTGATATCTTCTGCACTGTAGACAGCTAGTGACTCGCCCCGAACCGCGCGAGGTAATTGAGGGGATTCAGGTCAGGTGATTCTACTTAGATATTCCATCTTCTTTAGGTACTCAGCCCCCTTCCATTCCAGGTAGGCGAGAGTTTTCCAACGTCCTTCGATTCCATGGTAGTTCACCGACCTGTAGCAGGACATACTTCCGAAGATGTCGGGCGAGACACGAGTCTTTGATCCATCTTGTGGGTGGACATTCTTCTCGAGTTGCTTGTGTAATCGCCAGAGCTCACCTTCAGTCCGGGGCCCACGAAGAATACTGGTCTTCCCATTCAAGGTACGTCCGTTCATCATCAAACCGCGCCTTAACGACTGTTGGTGAAGGTGGATGTCCTAGGCACCGTAGCGACGTCGGTCGAAGGCTGCTCTGATGTTGAGTTCTTCAGAATCAAGAGTGCTGGTCTCCAGGTAGCTATCCATAGGTGTTTCCATTCAAGAAGTTTCGCAACTGTTTGGAGGCAACTTAAATTCCAAAGGTCTTCTCCAGTCAGGCTGCGACTAGAGATGACTTTATATTTCGGTGTACTTGAAGGTGAAGACCGAGAGCCTGCCCTTGCTTATCGAGCGGAAATCCTGGGTATCTTTTCCGCCCTGTAATTCTGTCCGAGCACCTCTGTTACAGGCTGCGCAAAACTTGCTAAATCTGTTCTGGGTCAAAACAACTTCTTTTTTTTGATAGCAGATTTTTTCTTTCGATAACTGCTTTCATAATGGGACCTCCGTTCTTTTGCCAATAGGATGGAGTTGGGAGCACGGATGGCGAGAGCCACGTCGTGCGCCTCAAATTTTTCACAAAAACACTCGATGGACGTTCTGCTCGGAAACTGGCCTTGAAATTTATTACGATGTGTTAGCGCCTACAGAAGCCTGCAACAACGGGCCTTTCCCGTCCCAAGGGCAGTATTAGCGACAGAAAGCTTGACGCATGCTTTTGTTATCGTTGATCTCTCGTCAGAATTTCGTGATCGTCTTATCGGGCGAAATACACTGCGAGAAATTTGCGTTTTTGGCAGTCAACTAAATAAATACTTTTTGTGAGGGCGAAAGGTTAAAGCATCACAAGGAATGTACCGAAAGCAGCGAATCCTGTGCACGTGCCTAGTATGAAGCGCAGATAGAGCTTGATTAGAATTACCGCTCCACCCTCCGGGAAGCGGAGCACCCACAACCAATCGAGCCTGTCATCTTTGTGTAGATGACCCAGTGGCTGGGTGCCAACTAGAGTACACGAGGGCTACGTCAGTGGACAAAAAGAGGGGGGCAGCGGAGAGGTTGAGACCGGTGCACAAGGTGTGCTGAGCCCGGACTGATTAGTGTCAATTTTTTGGAACTTTATCGAAAAGTAGCATCGAAGTAACACTCATACCTTCACCGATCTCAGGCCGTTCATTCTGTTACCGTTACTGTACAATAAATGGAAGTGAATAATGCATTCGAAAGTGTCAAGGGGTTCTTGTTCATGCCCTCACTCTGAAAAAACTGAAGTTATTGAGTCATGCACGCCAAAACTTCCATCTAGCTCCTTTGGGGAAGTTGTATAAAAAAAATGGGCGCTGTTCGGCGACAGGGGGGGGGGCATTTTGCACTTTCGCTGCTTCACTAGTTCCGGTTTACAAGTCTCACTCTGGTGAAACCTGTGAACTCTTGTGAAGCTGGAGCAAGCTCGTCGAGTCAACATGGTAAAACCTGTCAACTTTTGTAAACCCTTGAAACAGCTGTCCAGATGGGTCGGCACGTTAGTGGAAGTAGCAAAAGTGCAAATTGCTCCCCGCCCCTCGCCCTCCCGAAATACGTATGCTTTAAATGTGTGCTGTAGGATTGTCAATCACGCCCTTTTTGTTTCCTACGGGAAATTCCCACCAGTTAGAGACCTGTACTGCTCCGTAATCGATTTTGGACTTATGATTGTGGATACGGCACGAAAACGCCAATCACTACAAATTCGGCGTTTCTGCGCATTACGTTCTTTTGTGCTCGCCCGGTTTAGCGTCACAGACATCTTTGCTGACACTTCGCTGATAGCATCTATCAGCACGTGGGCCGGGACGAAGGAAACTTATCACGCCTTGCTAGGTAAGTGGGTGGCGGAAAAACTTCCAACACCCCGGTTGAGGGAGCGTACAGTACACATACTCCTTATACCTGAGACGGGGTAGGCGTGGCATTCGAACATGGCACAGAACTGGTTACTCGTGGGATATTTCAATTTGAGACAACCGCCATCTTGTTCTTTGTTGGACAGAGACGTGACCACATTTGGGTCAGAATGAAAATATCTCTCCAAAAGCGAAGCCACCACGAAGTTTACTTGAGGTACGCAGCCACGCCTACCTCATCTCTGGGATTTCACGTGTAGATGAATGGGAGAACACGAAATGCTAGGCAAGAATCTCTATGGGACCACCTCATGTCTGACGATCATTTCGATTCAGAGTAGCTGCTGCTCCTGTGCTGGTCAGTCAATCTAGGTCAGGATATAGTTCAGCACAGTCTAGGTGCGGTGAAGGAGAGAAAGAGAGGCGCTGCAAAAGGCTCGAGGACTATGACTTTGGCGCGAGGCGCACTCACCAGGTTGACCCTCAACAAGAGGTGGTATTTTTCCTGACAAAAATTCTATGCAAAAGACAAGATTTTCAGTCTATACGTTTTACATTGAGCAGGTAAGCAACTGCAGAAGGGTACCGCTTCCGTTCACTCCGAAGTGAGTGACAGCAAAGTTGGGCACTTGCTATAGCTTTTAGATAGACGCGGATTTTTTCTTACTCTGTCTGCTATGGACAACGTACGACGTGCTCCCTGATGCGCGGCCTGCATGCTATACCTAGTGGGCGTGTTCCCTGATAAAAGACTTTTAGCGACCAACATCCCGCAACAACGCGTTGCACAACTGCGCAGCCGAAGAACTGTAGAAAGCATTGGCACCCCTGTCAAACGGGAGACAGTGCAGACAAGTGTCTGGCTATTTTCAATATTGGCAATGGGGCGTTATCTGTCTGTAGCGTAAACTGATCGCAGGTGGAGCATAACACCACCTGCTACAATAATCCTCTAGTTTCCCCCCATTTAAGCAATTCAAGAAAAGTAATATGCACGCTCTCGCAATCTGTATAAAGCAGGACACCGTACTGAATACAAGTAGCGGCTGAATTAGCTCATTCACGGAGACCTACCCGAATCGCCGCTGGAGTTTTCCACAAGGAATCTGAGCATCTTCGAGTGCGGGCATATAGCTGCAGCACCGAGGGCAGTTGTGCGGCGTATGGCTATCATGCTCGCTGTATGACGTGCATGAGTCAGCCTTTAAGCTGCTCAGTTTCTTCGAGTCAGTGGACCCGGAACGTTACGGTAACATTGAAGATCACCTTCACTCAATAGAACGCGTTTGATGCACGGATTGCAAATCGCTTCTCACCTCCCAACAAGGAGGCCGCTGCCATTCAACTCTGCTGCGAAGAAATTCTCGCCATCAATCGTTTATCGCGGATTTGAGCCGCCCTTAGGAACACCGCTTTTCGAACGTTGTTAATCTGTCGAAGATCTTCTGCAGCTTTTGCAATTCTTCGTCTTTTCCCCAGCTTTATTCCGGTGCCGTCACAACGTCTGCCTGTCTTTTGACGTTGTCACCTTTTTCTGTTCTGGGGATATCCTGTCCGTGGCCTCGATCCCCGTGAACTCTCTGTGGTAACATCTCTGCACCTTTTCTTTGGCGCTCCTCGTACCCTGTGGATCAAAGTATACGGCTTCATTTATTGGTTTTATTACTTAGTTCTTCGACTAAAAGCAAAAAGCTGATGTGAAAAATACACAGTCTCGCCTGTCGGACTCTCCATTTTTACGACCTGAAAGTCATATCAAATCGACAAGAAAAGCTAAGCATTCCAGAAGAGCACACGAATTTGCCTACTAAGTAAAATGAACTGCATTTCTCACTCCGAGAAATTTTAGGCTAGAAGAATCGCATTGCTCCGAGCGAGCTCAACCGGTAAAGTCCATACATTAATAAGCACAAACTAAAGAGCTCTTGAAGGGAATAAGTCCAAATCTCATGCTCACGGGTTGCGTTCGGCGAGAGACAATATTAGTTCTTGTCTTCAAAGCCATCCTGGACAGACTTACATATCCTACAGAGTTGATCTGAATCGTGCAGTATTTCAGGGATTCATGTCAAAGATGTTGCTCGTCGATCCAGACTGGCAACATAAGGATAAGGAACTTCCTTCAAGATTTGTGGTGAAGGTGAGTTCAAAATTACACTACTTTGTAATGGGATCCTGCCAGCGTTTCTAACCTACAGATTCTTTCGTGGAGGCCCTTTATTGCTATACTATTGCTTTACGCTAAGCACAAAACTCGGCTCAAATAAATACAGTTGTCGCAGCAATCCTGTAGAGTCGAGTGCGCTTTCCGGCGACGAAGGTGAGGCATTCTTACCAGGGAAGTTCGCCAACTTACCATGGCACTTTGAATGGAGACCTGGATGGATCGATAGAGTCTATAAGGCTATTGACAAATATAGATAGCAAAACTGCAACGTGCATTCCACAAGCAACTTA